GGTAACATGAAAAAATGAAGGAGGAAGAGAGAGAGAGGGAGGAAGGAAAGCAGGAAAGGAGGGAGGGAGGAAGAGCGGGGAGAAAGAAGGAAAGAAGGACGGAAGGAAAGAAGGCAGGAAAAAAACCAAAGGAAAGAAGGAGGCAGGGAAGGCAGGCAGGCAGGAAAGAAAAGATCAGCAAGAAAAGAGAGAGGAAGCCAAGGAGGAAAAGAGATCAAAGCAGAGGAAGACAAAGAGAAAGAACCCGGAGAGGAAGGAAGGCAACGCCCTCCGCTGCGTTCCCACAACCCCCTTAACCCGGGTTCCTTTTCCCAACCTTTAGGATCTCATCTCCTCCACCCCGGAAAGGGGGGGGAGTGACCCGAACCTCCCAATTCAGCCTTTCCAAACCGGACTGCCCCCCCCCCATCCCTTTCCCCGCCTCCCCCACCTCTGCAAGGCTCGGGGATCACTTCGCGCTCCTTCGCACTCGGCTCCGGGACGCAGGGTTGGGGCGCCCCTCGGTCACTCCTGGGGGGCATCTCAGCCTTGGAGACGCTGACGTCGGCCCCTGGAAAATGGAGGTGCAATTAAAAAAAAAAAAGGCAGCCAGTCTCTGCTCCCCTCCCCAGTTGGGTTTCCCCACCTCGCAGGGTCGGCGTTTTGACCCGAAAAAACCAACAATACAGGCAATCCTCGACTTACGATCACAACTGAGCCCATTTCCATCACTAAGCGAGACAGTTGTGAGGTAAATTTTGCTCCCTTTTCCAATCTCTCTGCCCACCGTCGTTCAGCCTCGATTTACGACCACAACATTTCCGTCACTAAGCGAGACAGTTGTGAGGTTTAAGTTTTGCTCCCTTTTTCAATCTGTCTGGTCATAGTTGTTCAGTCCTCGACTTACGACCACAACTGAGCCCATTTCCGTCACTAAGCGAGACAGTTGTGAGGTAAATTTTGCTCCCTTTTCCAATCTCTCTGGTCACCATTGTTCAGTCCTCCACTTACGACCACAACTGAGCCCATTTCCATCACTAAGTGAGACAGTTGTGAGGTAAATTTTGCTCCCTTTTACAATCTCTCTGGTCAGTTGTTCAGTCCTCGACTTACGACCAGAACTGAGCCCAACATTTCTGTCGCTAAGCGAGACAGTTGTGAGGTAAATTTTGCTCCTTTTTCCAATCTCTCTGGTCACAGTCGATCAGTCCTCGACTTACGACCAGAACTGAGCTCATTTCCGTCACTAAGTGAGACAGTGGTGAGGTAACTTTTGCTCCCTTTTACAATCTGCCCACTGTCCTTCAGTCCTCGACTTACGACAACTGATCCCAAAATTTCTCTTTTCTAAGTGAGACAGTTAAGTGCGTTTTGCCCCATTTTTACGACCTTTCTTGGCACAGTTGTTCAGTCCTCGACTTACGACCACAACTGAGCCCCAAATTTCCTGCTGCTAAGCGAGGACCTTTCTTGACCCGGTTGTTAAGTGAATCACTGCCCCAGTTAAGTTAGGAACACGGTCGTTAAGTGAATCCGGCTTTTTCCCCATTGACTTTGCTTGTCGGAAGGTCGCCAAAGGGTCGCAAAACGTCGCCTGACACCCTGGGACACTGCGACCGTCGTAAATACGAGTCAGGGGCCAAGTGTCTGAATTCTGATCCCGTGTGCCTGGTCGTAAGTGTGAAAAATCGTCACAAGTCTCTCTTTTTCTGGGCTGTTTTAACTTTGAACAGTCACTAAATGAAATGTTGTAAATCGAGGACTACTACAAGGGGGATAAGAAACCAGCGGTGGCAGGTAACCTGGTTATACCGAGGGTTAGCAAGGATTCGTAGTTTTCCTTCACGAGATTGTTGTACAGGTCTTTTTGCCAGTCGGCCAAATTCTTCCATTCTTCGGCGGAGAAATAAACCGCAATGTCCACAAACGTAACCGGCATCTGCAAAATTAAAAACAAAAAACACACATTCGCACTGGTGGCTTCAAAAAAAAAAAAAAAAAAGGCAAGGCGGATTTTGCACTCAGACCCTCAATCGGTCACCCCACCTGAAGTGAAACCGCGAATTGCAAACCGCCCCGGGATTCTTAAAAAACAAGATTAAAGAAAAATTAAGACAATTGGACAATTGACTTCCTAGCCCTAGTTTGTTTTTTTTTAAATAAATTTAAAATTTTCTACATTTTTAATTTAAAAAAAAATAACATTTTAAATTTCTCTAAGTCCCTTTTTTCCCCAAGATTAAAAGATGGTTTTGTTGCTAAAAAAAAATAAAAATAAAAATCACCCAAAGGGGAAATTCATTGCAAATCCAGTCATGACTGATAAGTAGAAACAAACAAACAAACAAACAAACAAACAAAAACATTTTGGTCTATTTCTTTCCTGTATTTTGATTTCTTTTTTAAAATTAAAGTTTTTTTTCTCTTTTTAAGATTAAAGAGTGTTTTGCCACTAAAAATGATTAAAAGTGACTTCATAGCAAATCCAGTGACGATTGATAAGTAAAAAAAAAGATACATTTTTAAATTTTCTTAGTTTGTATTTTAACTTAGTTTCTTTTCTTTTTTTTAATCTTTTTAAGATTAAAGTATTTTGCCACTAAAAAAAATTCTAAAACTTCATTGCAGATCCAGCAAGGATTGATCAGTAAAAAAAGATACATTTTCCTTCGTAATTTATATTTTATTTTTTTAAAGTTTCTTTTCTTTTTAAAATTCGTTTTTCTTTTTACGATTATAGTGTTTTGCCATTAAAAATTACAAAAAGTGACTTCACTGCAAATCCAGTGATTGAGAAGTTAAAAAAATATGATACATTTTAAAATTTTCCTTACTAGTTTATATTTTAATTTTTTTAAAGTTTCTTTTCTTTTTTAAATTCAAGTTTTTCTCTTTTTAAGATTAAAGAATGCTTTGCAATTAAAAAATTAAATTCGTTGCAAATCTGGTGACAATTGATAAGTTAAAAATATAAGATACATTTTTTAACTTTCTTTCCTAGTTTTGTATTTTAATTTTTTAAGTTTCTTTTTCCCAAAAAGTTTTTTCTCTTTTTAAGATTAGTTTTGCCACTAAAAAATTATTTCAGTGATGATTGATAAGTTAAAAAAATCAGACACATTTTTTAATTTTCCTTCCTAGTCTATATTTTAATTTTTTTAAAGTTTTTCTTTTGAAAATTAGTTTTTTTCTCTTAAGGCTAAAGAGTTTTGCCACTAAAAAATTACTAAAAGTGAATTCATTGAGACTCGAGTGAGGCTGATAAGTAAAAAAAAGATACTTTTTCCAGTTTTCCTACCTAGTTTATATTTTAATTTTTTAAAGTTTCTTTTTAAGATTAAAGATTGTTTGGTTCCTAAAACATTACTAAAAGTGAATTAATTGATAATCCAGTAACGCCTAATCAATGGAAAATATTTTTTTTAAATGTTCCTTTCTAGTTTGTATTTTAATTATTTTCTTTGCAGGATTAAAGATTGCTTTGTTACTAAAAGAAATCACTAACAATTTAGGAAGAATAGAATAGAATAAGAAATAGAATAGAATAGAATAAGAAATAGAATAGAATAGAATAGAATAGAATAGAATAGAATAGAATAATAGAACAGAAAATAAAATAGAATGGAAGATAGAATAGAATAGAAAATGGAAAATAGAATAGAATAGAATAAGGAATAGAATAGAATAGAATAGAATAGAATAGAATAGAATAGAATAGAATAGAATAATAGAACAGAAAATAAGATAGAATAGAATAGAATAGAATAGAATAGAATAGAATAGAATAAGAAATAGAATAGAATAGAATAGAATAGAATAATAGAACAGAAAATAAAATAGAATGGAAGATAGAATAGAATAGAAAATGGAAAATAGAATAGAATAGAATAGAATAG